CCCCCCCCCCCCCCCCTCTCTCAAAGAAAAAAAAAACCCCACCTCCGGGTGGGATATACTGGGTCTGTTTGGTTAGCATTGGGCTGTTAGTAGTTGTAATTCTATAAAGTTTGTCATTTGGCTTCTTAGCTACATCGACCGCACCCATGAGCTTCTTTTTACATATGCTTTCGAAAAACCATGCTCCATCTGTCCCAAAATAAATGTCCACAATGAAAAAGGCACACAGTTTTATAAATGTATAATTATTACTTTTTTTAATCAACTAAACGAGTATTTTACCCTTAACAACACATGAAGTAATTATTAAAATTGAAAAGTAAGTGGACACATAAAATAGAAATATGGACACGTATTGTGGGACAGAGGGAGTATCATTCCATAATCTTTAACCTGCAATACATTTGATTCAGGTGGGTTCGATCATTGAACTAAGAAGATCGTATCAAGCATACAACGTAATGCCAAGTTTAAGCAAAGCTTTAAAACGTTATGGCGTATGAAGGTAGAAAAATCCGGACCCTTGATTCAACCGTTAGCTGGAAAACCGTACGAAAAGATTCCGGCATGGTGGATGAGATGCAACGAACTAAAGAAACAAGAAGACATTAGCGTTGGCCGCAATCAAGATTTTGTATACGAATGCCGTTTCTCGGGTCCCATGTTGCTGTTGTATGTGATATGCGGGAACCAAAAGCTGTGGCCATTGAACGAGTTACCGTGAAAATTATTGTTTTGAGGGAAGGTTTAAATCTGAATTGTGTAGAAATGAGTTGTGGTTTATGGACATTTTGAATCTAGGATAGTGTTTACAAGGGGTAGAAAATGTGTTAAGTTCTGTAACAAGGTTAGTGCAGCTTAAAAAGTGTCAACAATGGTACCAAAGATGATTTATATATTTCAGTTTTTTATAACATATATGTTATCTTATAGTTTCATTAAAAGGTAGTCTCTGAATCATTAAGAGGTGAATCTTGTTTGACAAAAAAAAGACTGTCTCTTAATGGTTCTAAAATTCTCTGAATGATTTTGTATCCTGAGCCTTCTTTAACCATTAAGCGTCTTAATTTCGGTGTAAACAATTACCAAACAATTATATTCCATTTTGTATTATATCATGAGAGCCTCTAATCATTCTGACCACTTAATCATTTTGTACCAGTCCATTCAACAACTGTCAAACAACCCCGCTTTGTATTGATTAAGTTGTTTGTTTTGATGAATTTGTTATTATTTCTGGTATTAATTAATTTACAGGTGGTTTAAAGAGGACAACTTTGGGGTCCGGATGTATTCCATTATAGCATTTTGGCTTCATGGCTAAAAAGAGGGATGAATTATTTCTGGTATTAATTTTTTTAAAGATTTTTAACTTTTAATACAAGAAATTTAGAGATTAATTTATTAAATTATAATAGAATAATTAATTTTAATAACATATATCATTTGAAAGTTTTCGTCAAAACTATTAAAATGAAGTTAAATAAAAAGTTTATGTAGTTTTCAGTTTTTATTTTTATCTATTTTCTACATTATTTTTTATTATTAATATATAATAAATTACATAAATTAATAAAAATATAGACCGTATAAAATAATATTTTGAGAACAGTAAAATGAAAGTTTAAGAAACATAACAATAAATAAAATTTAAAGAATGAATAAAATATAAAAAAAAGACCTATTGATGTTTTAGAAGATAATTAAGTTTTATTTTAAGATTATATTGGTAAAATATAAGTCTGTTCCACTTTGTTCCATAAGGTAGAAGTGGAACAGACCATTTCATATAAAAATCATGACAAATAAAATGTTCTGTTATGTCCTATTCAATATACTGAACACATCCTCACAAATGTTATAAAAACAAGAGTTTTTTCTCTCCCTTTATTTTCCCTCACAAAATTCCCGTTTATTTGTGTGTATAAATATTTTAGATATTTAAACGAAAAGTTGCATTCTAGTTTACCCGCGTCTTGGCCTTTCAAAATTGGGAGCAGAACACACTGGTGAACGTTTTTCAGAATGCCAAATGATAGAGAATTGGTAGAACAAGAAGGAAGATCGGAGATGGAGTTCACCGACCTCCAGATCTCGGCGGATTCAATCGACGTTTCTGTCATGTTTCATGTCGTCATGGAAATCCTAGGGTTTGTTCTTTTCATGCATCAACAGATCCCTGCGTAAGCTTCATAGTAATCCTACTCATATCACATCTCAGATATTTTTTTTTGATGAAATTGGCATTTGTTTGAGTTGCTGAATATATGTGATTGAATTGCCTAAAAGTTAGGATGATTTGTTCGATGTATTTCTCTGGAATTCGGTTTGTATTCTATGAAATTGACATTTGCTTGAGTTGCTGAATATATGTGATTGAATTGGCATCTGTTTGAGTTGCTGATTATATGTGATTGAATTGCCTAAAAGTTATGATGATTTGTTCGATATATTTCTCTGGAATTCGGAAATTAGATCCTTTGTTATCAGGTATTTTGCCACAATTTTAGTAATTAGTCATATTTTTTGGTTCCACCTCTCGATTTTGCTGTTCTATCTTTATAAAATGTTTGTTAATTTTGTGTGGATTTCATACCCAGTTCACACTTCAACTGTTTAAGATATCTCATTTATGATCTTAGAAAGGTAAATATCTGCGTTCAATTGGTTGAGATCTGGATTAAAGATTGAAGCTCACTTAGTCTCAATTCAAAGTTAATTCTCTCATCTTTTTTCCAATTTCATCAAACTGGACTTTTCAAACATGAATGATCTTATTTTGCTTGAGTGAAGCTGTATGCAGTAAAATCATGATAGTTATGCTGAATGTGTACTACATTGATTTCATCTTGTTAAATGCTATAAATCTGATAATTATATCCTATCAAACTTGTAATGCTGTTGTTTTGTAAGCTAGAAATGGTAAACCTCTGTATCATTTTTATTGGCAGGGTCTTACAAGATGTCAATCATGAGTTTGATGCACTGCATACAGAGTATAAAGATTTGGTATGTTAAGCTTGTACTGTTGTTGGTCGTTTGGTTTGACGAAATGTTTTTGAGGGATTTGGATTTTGTGGAAGGATTTGGAACTAGAAGAATTTGAAATCTTTGATGTGTTTGGTTTGTAGGATTTTGAATGGAACTGAATTCCAATCTTTATAGATAATTTATAATAACTAATTTTAAATAATTATAAAATTCATTATTAACTTTTATTGATTGATTATTACATTAAAAATGTTTTATCATGTTTCAAAACATTATTACAAATAATTCATATGAAATCCTGTGAAATACCAACTACCTGAAGATTTCTAAATCCAATGTTAATGAGATTTTATTGAAATCGTGGTATTTCAAAATCCAATTCCAAATCCCACCCGATCACGCAAGCCAAATGGACCCTTGGAGTCTTACAAAGGTTAGACTTGGACCAATTTCTCCTCAATATATATAGGAACCTTCATTCTCTTCTCAAAGGTTCTTTCAGAGAGTAAATCTAATGGGGTTCAACATATTCTCACATGTACAATATTCTTTTAACATAACTATGCTTTCATCTCGGAAACCTGCTAAGATTTTCTGTTTCAGGAGGCGGTTCTTGCACAAACCGAAATGAAAGCATCCCAACGTAGAGTTCAAAACGGAAGAAAGAGAGAAGTGAAACATGGCATAAAACGATTTGAAAAGCTGATGAAAACTGTTGCTAGTATCCAAACTGCTCTCCAACTGGTCTTCAGTGAGATGCCACATATTGAGACTGTCATTTTGGTTTTTGGAGGTAGTCCAGTTCGGCCTCGACATGTATATGAACTGTGCTTTTCTCATGGAAGTGACGTTCTATCCGAGGCTCGTGACTTTACTCGAACTAGAGCAACAGACACAATTTCAAGAAAGGTACTTGTATTTAGATATTCATCTGGTGTGCCATTTTAGAAGACTCCACCTCACAAAATGGCCCACCTTATTCAATAGTGTCAGAATATAGCCACACTTTTCCGCAAATTACAACCCAAAAGCACATTACTTTGCGGAGTGTGTTTTTCATGGGAATTTTGTGGGCCAAATCGCAAAATTGATCCTCAAAACACCAATTTTTTTCAGAAAAATTGGCAGAAATGTCAAATGCCGTAGAGCCGAGGTTTTTTTATGCAGTGGGCCCACAAAAAACAAAAAAGTCGATAACAAGTCACTCTGCAGAAAATCGGGCTTTGTAATTGGATTTGGCAGAAATAGGAGCCGTTTTGTGCTATTTGGGAAAAGGTGTTCCATTTTTGTGAGGTGGATCTTTGAAAATGGCTATTTTTGTGAATACCCCTTTCTTTAGCAAAACATATCTAACACTTATGCTATTTTAGTTTTTAGATTTTTAAAAGATTTGCTTCAATAGTTATGCTAAACTTTACTCTAAAAATAAAAATAAAAAGGAGAGAGAACGAAGAAAATCTCTAAATCTGATAAGAAGTGAGAGAAAATATAACATACACGCTCTATAATGGCCAATGATTGACTTTTGCAACAGGTCATCAGGTTACTGGTATCCAAAGGTGTTGGATCTGATTCTTATGCAGGTATTATTTGATCACCTAAAAACCATGAGTTTCTTGGAAATTGGGAGAGTTGAAATCTATATTGAAGCTTTGAAAATTTTTAGGGCCTTCCAAGTTGTTCCTGTTGGTCAAAGCTTCTTGTTCTTTCAATATGCCTCTGCATTTTCTTCCCAAGCGTGATTTTAGATACAACAAAAAGGTAACATTTCAGAGCACATTTATCCCTCTTAAATGACTACTGTTCACACACACATATATATATATATAGAGAGAGAGAGAGAGAGAGAGATTCAAATGAAGCCGGTTAATTTGTCATGAATGTGAGAAAGACCAAATCATATGTAATCACATGTGATACAAACACTTTGCATTGACCGCTATCGCCTGGCCACTTTTCCAGCCACCTTGGTCGCATTGACCAAGTCATTGCTGGACATGTGGTATCACATATGATAGTGAAACATCTCATAGACCACCTTCTCGTTTGATTTTGCCTCTGTAATATATATATATATATATATATATATATGTGTGTGTGTGTATACATAGGGTTGGGTTCACGTAAGACCGGTCTGTTTTTGTGAGACTTGTGAAATCACTTTTTTACACTTGAAACTTCACCGCAAAATAAGGTAAAGAAAAGCCGAACCTTCACGATAAAAACACTGGGAAGGTTACCTTCACAACTTTTGTTGTGAAGTTTCAAGTGAAAAAAAGTGCTCTCACGGGTCTCACGAAAACAAGCTGGTCTCACGTGATCACAAGTCTCTCTCTCTCTCTTTTCATATATAGGGAAGTGCACGAGAAAACTCTAAAAAACTGAGAAACACCCTGGTAGCCATTCATCTCGTAGCTATTCATCTGGACGGTATGAACATGTGCTAACTGTCCAGATGAACAGTTACCATGGTGTTCCTCAGCTTTACATTTTTTTACAGTTTCCTCGAACCTGACCCTATATATATTATGGATCTTTTAGTACTATCTTACATGTACAATCTGATGAGGACTTTGAAAGTTACCTTTACATTTTTCTAACTGCATCTAGAGTTCCAAGTTGCATTTATCCCACGCTTGGCATGATATTATCGGGACAGAAGAGTACCGAGTAAGACAAAAATGCATTTTTTTTGTTACCAAAATAGTTGGAACAAGAATAGTGATAGGACAAGATTGATAAATTACTAAACTACATCAAATTAAAACCTTCCACGATCTTTTGAGTTGCCTACTTGACTCTTGCTTGGAACCAAAATCAGGGAAATTGACAATATAGGTAAATTACTAAACCACCCATATCAAATTAAAACCAAAAACTTTCATAATTCTTTCCGCTGCCTGCCTCACCGTCGCTTGTCGTGTCCGGTCGTGCTAACCAAACGCCCCCTTAAAGGCAAATCTTTGGGTTCTCTAGTACACTTGTTTAATGTTGTAGATTTTGTTGCAGTAATTATAGTTTATATCTATACATTATTGTATGTGGTTTCAATCATGAAAATTCACTTCTCGTGAAATGCATTCTCTCTATTCAACTTGATTCGTACTTGCAGACGATGCCTACAAGATTACGTATCAAGTGTAGAAACCAAGATCGAGAGATTCATGCTCTGAATCACGATGCTCAACCTGCAGACTCGGATTCTATGTCAAATGATTTCATCTGGTAACACTTCTTAATTCCAACCCCCCCCCCCTCTTCCCGGTCTTTTTTCATAACATGGATAAAAAAATAATATATATAACCTTTCTATAAGTTCAAAGTTGTGGGCTATCAATAACTTCTACCATGGTTTTAAAGCTTAAGAAGTTATTGAGTCAGTCTACTCCTATTGAAAGCGACTATTAATCGTTTATATCTAAAACATAACAGGTTTCAATGTCGACATGTTATCAAGGGTTTGCCTCTTAAGACATCACCAGACGAATGATCAAAATGAAGAGAATTAATGAATTTGGGTTCAAAACAGTTGTTGAAGAACATTACCGAATATTTTAGGACCCGTCTACGACCATCTTTTTTGTTTAGTTGACATTTAATTTTTTTTTTTGTGTCTGTTTACAAGTCATTACATGAAAGCGACACCTAAATGCTTGACATTTCACATTTTAAACATCAAAATAGAGATTTTAAAAGTACGTTATCCAAAATAGAAATTGGAATAAAGTTACGTGTGCTCTAATATTTCAGTTGGATAAAAATCTCATATCGCAAATTCGTACATTTTTTTTGTCCATTAATCACATGAATACATATATTTAGAGAGAATGTGAACTTGAATTGAACGTCTTAGGGTTTTTTTGGTTCAGGTAAGGGAATAAAAATGAAAATAATGGGGAATGAATTTTCATGGGGAATGAATTTTCATGGAGAATGAACTAATTATCTACACTATCATTATAAAATATTTGACATAATGTGCATATTATTTATTGATGCATATTACTTAAAATTAAATATTACAAGTAGAATGTGCATTAGTACATCTTACTAAAACATAATGTTTGAATTTGTATAACTAATTGTAGATAAAAATAATCAAGTATATGATAAATATAATTTTAATTTTTAAATATAATTTTTTTAAATATAATTAAG